CGCATCGGCCCATGATGCGCGCGGTTGGACGGAGCAAGATGATGAACGGGGGTGCACGACCGATGGTAGAGCCGCAGGGCCAAGCGACATGCGGATGGTGTCGGAGGTTGATTGGGATGTGCTAGCGTTCGGCGGCGTGACGACGGGGCGCGATAAGGGCGCGAATGGGCAGTTAGCGGGAATGAGCGATACGGACCAAGCCGCGGGAGCACGGGGTTGCGCGGGAGGAGATCAGAGCTCGCGGGCGACGGGTGCGACGCGCGAAGGAGCGGACGCGGTGTGGTGCGCCGTAGAAGATTTGGGCGCAGGCGGTAGCCGGCACGCGCAGGGCCTGGACGGCAATGAGGAGCCGCGTGCATGGGCGCGCGAGTGGAGTGCGGGCGCGGACGGAGGCCTAAGCCTCGTAGGCTTAGGAGAGCGGGACGTACACGCGCATGAGGAAGGCGGCGGCAGCTGGGCGCGCGCATTGGCGCGCGATTGGGCGACAGGCGCGCAAAGCCTATGCGCGGAAGGATTAGGCGAGGCGGGGTCGGCGGATGATGCGTGCGAGACGCGCGCGCGCAAAGCCGCGCGCGACGAGGATTAGGAAACCCCGAAGGGCGGCGCGCACGCGTGATGCATAGAAGGCGGCCGAAGTACTTGGGCGTGTGATGTGGATTTGTTTGGAGTGCAAGCCAAGCAAAATCAAGATCTAGTCAATTTAGGACTTTAGATATTTAGTTTCCTACTTGCACAATAATATCTAGATTGTATAGGATATTTAATATTTTATTGCTTTAATTAGTTTCCTAGGTAGATTAGAATTAGTCATAGTTAGGATCTATAAATAGGGAGCATCCCCCATTGTTTTTAAAAAAGTCGGGGAATGGAATAGAAAAGAATGTTAGTTCAAACCGTGTGTTGAGAGTCGTGAGATTCGATCATACAAATCGAATTGGTGAGGCTAAGACCCGAACCAGTTCAACGATTTAGAGAGGCTAAGACCCGATCTATTTCGCGAGTGTAGCGAGGCTAATACCCGAGTGAACTCAAGTATCGTGAGAGAGTTAGGCTAATAACCGAGTCGATCACACCTATCGTCGAGAGCAAGGCCGTGGCGAAGCCGTGATCGAGACAAGACGAGGACACGAACACCCGATCCTTCATCACGCTGGCAGCACGCACAGCACGGGCGCTGGGCAGCCACTGGCAGCACGCGGGGCTGACTTGCCAGGCAAGAAATCAAGGCTTCTAGAGACCTTTTTGAGCTGAATCTTCTT